TGTTTTTTTCTCTCTCTTTTATTCTTTCCATCGTCCATTCGTTTTGTTATACCATGCGAGAAATGTATCACTTTATACGATAAATGTGTTACCTTGACAATAAACGTGCCACCAACAACGGTGATCTCTCGAGCTTTTTATCTGATTCGCCATTGTACAAAACAACCCCTTGTTCGTAAACGTTTTACTCACGATTGTATGTACACACACATGTGGTTGATTTTAAAGCAAGAGACAAATTGTTTTCGAAACAATTGGGATCACTGTATAAACGTTCTTGTTCTTGTCAAACGGGATGCATTATTATTTTCATATCGTCTGAGTAATTTCATTCATTTCTCCTTTTCTTTTCCTTTTCTTTTGTTTATCTATTACAATAAACATATGATTAATTAAAAAAAAAACAAAATGGAGAATCAAATTTTACCTTAGGATAAAAAATTATATAACACGCATACATGTTATTTTGTTTATCGAATGAATGGGGATAATTTTCTTACGTCGTTGAAGTAATTTAATTAAACATGTTATAATGAAAAAAAAAAAATAAAAGAAAAATGTCTTTTACCTTTAACACGTAAACCAACGTACATACGAAATATTTTCTTTTAGTAATAATAATAAATAAGAGAATATTAGGGACCCTATAGGAGGGACGCGCCATGCACATTGCTGGGGGACAGGAACTCGTGTAGTCACATGATTAAGCGCGAATAATTCAAATGATAAGTTATAGGTTAGGTTTGTACATTTATACTTGTAATTATTAAATGAGTAAATTAAACTTACACTTATAGAAAACTACTAAAACAAAGAAAACAATTAAATATAAATATCACAATAATAACTATAAGTATATTCCAAACTTAAATTAACCACAGCCGTTAATACATACTAAAGATAAACATGGCTGCGTGATGTAACGGAAGCTGTCCCCCCCCCACATTTTCAGCCTAGCAATTTGTATGACGCGTCCCTCCTATAGGGTCCCTAGAGAATATTATGTTACAGGGACGTATAAACTTTTCCCTCTTGACATTTCGCACATAGTAATTATTCCGTTCTTTCAGAATAGTTTTATTTATACTCGCGACGTTGATCACGTTTGAGAAAAACGCAAAGCTGCAGATCTGGAGTTCAGACGAAAAAAAAAAAAAAAACAAATCACACACAAGTCTCACAATAACGCGACGTAGGAAAGTTGTAGAACAAATGTGTGGGGGTGGTTTCTGTTACAAAAAAAAAAAAGAAAAATCGAGCAACTGGAAAGTTCATTTTCCATTGCGCGGTGCAACGCGATACGGCGATGGAATCCCTTTAAAGGTTGTACGTCACGTTTACAGCACGAAATCATTAAATCCTTCCGTGGATGTGTTAAGTGCGTACTTCAACGTGTCTTAACCGTGCATACACACGCGAACAGTACCCTTTCCTACAACATACGAAACAGTGCCTTAATTACACTGGTAGGAGTACAGAGTGAAACCAAGAGGGAGGAGGGAGACAAGAGAGGATGATAAGTCGGAAGCAGGTGACATCCGTTTCAAGTACAACACCTTCATTCCAAAGACCGTACTGGTTTTACTAATGATGTAAACATTCTTTTTTGTTTTCATCATCATCGTCGTCGTCATCGTCGTCGTCAAAAAGAATACGTGCATGCATATGACACGTGGTTTCATTGCAATTATGCAACGTATATTTTTTTGTATTATTCTTTTAGAACTTGACAAAGGTTCGTTCAAAGTTTTATTTTTCAGGCTGAAAAATATGTAACTTTTCTTCTTCTTCTTCTTTCTTTTTGACATCTTCCAACATATTTTTATTTTATTTTATTTTATTTTTCTCATAATAACAATTTTTTCTTTTCAAAAGTATACGAAGTGGAACGTATACCATCACCACCAACCACCACCACACTCGTTCCGCACGTTCATTTCGATTTGGGGAAGAAAGCTTTCCAAAGCCATCTCGATTTCCTAACATATTTCTACTGACATTTCTCGTAGCAGCAGCCTCCACGGGAGCTCAGGAATGTTCTTTCACGTTCTTTGCGTTCCACGATGTGAACAAAAAAAGAAAAGAAAAGAAAAGAAAAGAAGAAAGGAATGGTTGGTGGTGGTGGTGATGATGATGGCGGTGTTTTAATTTTCTACCAAATTCCAACGAATAGTTTCTCTATTTTTCTCTATCCAGGTTTTCTTTTGCTTTCTCTCTTTCTCTCTCTCTCTCTCTCTCTCTCTTTCTCGGCAAATAATATTTCTTTTCTTTCAAATCTTCTTCAGCTATTTTCATGGAATACGTTTGCAGAGTTAATTAAGTGTCGAGTCCTTGACACTGCTGCTAATCCAAATGAGAGACACAAATGGAACGTACTGTACGAGTCTCGAGTCATTTCTAGAGTGTGGTAATAAGAATACTGGACTTGTTAAGTAAGTTCAATGAATATTCCATTTCTACTTAATGGAATATTATTTTTTTTTCTCTAAATATTACAACGACGAAGATATAAAAACAAAGAAAATAGAATAAAAAGAGAGAGAGAGAGAGAGAAAAAATACGGTTTTAAAATTCGAGTTGCATTAATAAAATAAACACTTTTACGTGGGAGCTTGCTATTATAATAATAATAATAATAATAATAATAATAATAATAATAATAATAATAATAATAATCATATGTTTACATAAAAACGTCGGCGAACATTCGATGGTTTAAACTCGCTAAAAGAAAACAAGCCCCGAAGGTGTCGTTTTCATTCTTCTGAATTATTTAACGTAATCCCACCACCCTCTTTTTTCTTGCTTTACAGAGAAATAATGTCACGAGTCACTTAAAGTACATATACGTGTTCAAATAAAAGTAAAAAAGTAAAAGAAAATACCATATGTTACATTGTAATGTTACCATTCACCTCGAAGAGACACCTTTTTTTGTAAATTGAAAAAATATTATTCAATATTTAACGAAAGGTGATAGGATTATTTTTTACGAATTCATGTACATATATATCATAAGACGTTTGTACGAGGGATTAAATTTATCCAATTGACTGTCGAATTTAGTTTGAAAAGATCACCACAGGGTGTGCAATTAAAAACAAGCAACCGACGTGTATACACGTCGAACGCAGGGCAAATTGAAGATAGCAAGAATAAACGAAGAAAAATCAGAAAAATAGTTTAGACTATTTCAAGCTATGTATGTGTGATGATATGTTTCAAAGTGTGCACAATACTACGCAAAGTGCGCAACTTCACAGGTCGCACAACCAAAAACCTTGCGTTTCCTTGCATTTTCCATTTTTCTTTGTCGAGCAAACGGTAGGCACATCTTATAAATAAAAATAAATCTAAATAAATCTAAATCAAATACATCATAGAGATCGTATTGGTAATATAGAAGGGAACAATACCATCAAATAATATTCTTATTACATTTTATTGTGATTACGAGTTTTTTATAGTGAATGGTAATTTGTTCATTTTACACGACAAGTATACACGTCGAATGCACTTAATTGAATGAGTAATAATAGGAATGTTTAAGAATTGGTTGAAAAAATTGTTAAAAGTATTATTATTATTACTTTCAGCAAAATAAATTTGTGAACATTTCGACTTCGACGTAATACTATTTACAGCTTATGACAATACCCACCATTTTTCTCTCTTTCTACGTGCTTGTAGGTATACTACAACAACACATATAGGTATATACTAGACCCTCTATACAGAACTACTATACAGAGCGAGCACGTAGCAACGGTCTCGTATTTCAAGCTACTTTTCCATTCTCCGTTTTTTCTCATTGCTTTTCTTTACTTCCTTTCCTGCTTTCAACGTCCGTCGGAGAGCATCATCTCAAAGGGATTGGGAAAACATTTCCTGCTCTTTTCGCGGTTTACAACGAATGTCAACGATGTAGCATCTCTCTTTTTCTCTCTCTCTCTCTCTCTCTCTGTCTCTCTCTCTCTACCTCTTTTTTATCATCTTCTTTCTTCCTTTTCTATTTTGTTTTTTTCACTCGAATAAATACAACGTGATATATTCACAACACTTGACTATTTCCCTTCAAAAGATTCAAACAATGTGTAAAAGATCAAAATTAAAAATAATTAACACCTTTTTCACAACATTTGACAATTCTAATCACCAAATGATTAGGCACAAGGCACCGAGGTGCTTTGATCGGTACTATGTTATTTATCTATCTTATTTTTATCAATATCAAACAATAAAATATGATCAGATCATTTTCTAATAATGATTTAATCCATTCCAAATTTTCAATAAACGTTTATTTCTTGCACAAATTATGAAGCTGTCATAAATAATTGATCGGATCATCCCTGTAAATTTGTCACGTTAACAGTCAGTTCTCCCGTATAAAATGAAATATAAATTAAACAATGTTTAAATTGAAAATATTTACAAAAAAAAAAAAAAAAATTGCATTACATATTTACATGGTCGTAAATAACATCTCATCCAACAATTACGGACAATAATTTCACCTGTAATTTG